TGTCTTAGAAACCTGTTATAGAAGAACCCAACCATGTTGAATCCCTGTACATAGATACCTCCTATTTTCCCTTGGCATTACTTAGACCTCTTAGCTTGAAGCTTTTTTTTTCCCTTTTATTCTGGAAAGTACAACAAAACAAAAGGACTGGAAAGCTTCCAGCAACGTAGGATACCCCGCGAATGGAAGTCAGTAGAAATTTCATAGACAGGACCATGATTGTTCATGGACCTTCTTGGCTGACTGAATGAAAAGGCATTATTACTAAAACAGCACCAGGATCTGTCAATGACTGCCAGTTTCTACCCTGCCAGTAAATGCATAATGCAAGGTGGAAAAACTAATTGTATCCAGAATCATTATTGCCTCTTTATGTTAATTTGAGCACTGTTATTTTTCACTATGACCTTGCTCCCCATTTTCCACCTGCAGTCTATTTTTAGTTAAAAAGATCTCAAAGTAATCAAGCAACCCAAAATTCTGCAGAATTCTTTTTACTAATCCAAATTTAATTGTTGCTTTCTTAATTCAGTTTAATTCTGAGCACATTGTTTCTTTTTCAGAAACTCTGCAGCTGCTTACACATGCCTTCCTTTCTATAGTCCCTGTAGCCCCCAGGCTAATTTTTTCAGCCCCCAAATTGTGGAAAATGACCGATTTCGGGTAGACCAATTCTTAGCCAAAAATTATGCAAGATAAATACGCTGTATGTTAATGAGGCTATGCATTAATGAGACACACTTTAACCTGCATAGTGTATGCCCCTTCCCCCCCCCAGAGCAGAAACATATTCTTAGTACTCCACATAAAATATTTTTTAATCTACCTCAATCTTATTCTCAGCAAAGAATGGGTAGGAGAATGGAAGGTCGAGGCCCTGGCCTCAAGAAGGTTGTCTAATCCTGGCTTGGGCTCTGAACTTTGATTTGATAGAAGAATGCTCCGAATTTCTTTTCCCTCCTAACGCTTCCATAACAGTTTCTCTATATTATTTAGATACCTAGTCCAATCTCCAAGATTCGAATTTGCTTTGTTTTTCATGAACAAGATTTAACACCTATGTTCACATCATATGCTATGCCCAAACAAATAAACCAATGTATAGCTTAGTTTACACAATATGCTTACACAACGTAATAATGCTGAACCTACAGACTATCAAATCCTATCTTAACTTAGTCTATTGTGTTACGCCTTGTTGGCTTATATATAGCTATTTTCCATTTGTGTATTGTCAGAGGAAAAAATGGCCATGTCCAGAATAAAGACCACATTTATCCTAACCCCATTTAATTATTTTCATAAATTAATTCCTTCCTACATTCATTGTATCCTATTTATCCTTTTTTATTTATTTTGCTTTATTAATTCAGTACAAAAACAAATAAAAATAAGCAAAGTTCAAAGCTATGGAGAAAGAAAAAGAAACTAAAAAGAAAAAGAAACAAAAACATACAGGACATATTTGCACAGATATATACACATACATACACACACAAATTTCAATAAATGGTAGCCATATTTCATTATAACCATCCAGAATACATCAATATGTAATTTGTTCATAATGTTGCTAATAACATCACCTCTGTATAGATGTGGTCCTAACTACTCAATGGTATGCAAACTTGAGGTTATCCCACTTTATTCAACTTCCTCATTCAAGATTAGTGTGTAATTTGGGGGTTGTTTCAGACTCACAGCTCCTGCTTGAAGAGCAGGTGGCAGCTGTGGCCAAGAGGGCCTTTGCACAGATCTGTCTAGTGTGTCAGCTGTGTCCCTTAGTTGGCGCCTAGAATGAGGGGGGAGTACAAGGGGTAAAAGTAGAGGGAAAAATACATGGGCTTTAGTTTTAGCAATGCTTTACTTAGAGCTGTACAATCCAATAAATGAAATGTTTTCTGAACTTAATTTGGGTTTCACAGGATTTTTCTGCATTGGGGTTTGAACATTGTAGACCTGACACCTGAATTAGGAGGCCCTTTGTCTATTCTTGCCCTAGTCACCTTAGGAATGGATTGCTGCAATGCATTCTACAGGTCAAGAATTCTTTGTATAACTTAAAATCAATTCAGTTTCAAGTCTCTCAATGCAGAGAAGGGGAGACACCAACTGGGCGAAATGGAACAAAAACTCAGTGAACACTCACAGCCGTTCATGTGGAACTGCAGAATGGATTTAGCGTATCCAACCTCAAGATGGCTTATGACTTTAGAAGGATGGGTCCCCATCCTTTTTGTATGTATGTGCATTCACCGTTCGTGCCATAAATGTCACCATCTGTTTCTATTCTGCAACAGAATTTGATTTGCATTTTCCTCTTTATTTTGTATTTTGAACTTGATTCACATTTTACTCTTTATTTTGCATTTTGTATTGAATTACTAATTTCCTCCAGTTCAAGTCATTGTAATTTGTTAATTTGTTGCTAATTTCAAAAGAAACTATTTTTAACAGAAACTTTTATTCTGTTTGTGTTCTGTGTGTCAATTAAAATTTGTTTAGCTGGAAGAGACTGTAATGTGTATGATACTTGGGTTTAATTCCCCAAAACTCATTTTTAGCCATTGGTTAAAGTTTCTTTGGTATAAATGTTACAGAGATGGTCTTAAATTTGAATGCCACTCCTGAGAGATGAGGTAACACACAGGCCTAAGATGACTGATGTTATCATATATAAGAATTAGGAAACTCTACTTGTACTTGAGTTTCAAAGATAGGAAACCTGGTTGAAAAACACAGTTTTGCCTTACTTCACATAGTACTCCAGAATACATGGAATTACAAGGATTTTTTTTTTCTGTACAATATCCTATGAAACTGTGAATTGATTTTAAGTTATACAAAGAATTCTTGACCTGTAGAATGCATTGCAACAATCCATTCTTAAGGTGACTAGGATATTGCTACCCAATCACCCAGATATTGTTATGCAGTTAAATCCAGGAGTTTTCCATGAACTCATGCATTCTTCCCCATCCCTGCTCATTCAAACCTCCTCCTCCTCCTCCTCCTTTTAATTTTGGCATTTATAGTGTCACAGGGTTGGAAAGGATGGTTCATTATAGCATTAATGTTCATCGACAAAGTTAGTCCCCACTACAGTTTGCAGATTTATTTCTAATCATGGTTGCAAACTGAATTATTTTATTATATTTCTATATCTCATTAATCAAGGAATAATGCTGGGCAGTTAAATTTTATAAAATGCCAGCGATCATGTAAAATTAACCCAGATCCAGTTCAGAACAGAAACAGGGAATACCAGCCACAGGAAGTAATAGGATATGTTAAAGGTGCACCAAGCAAAATAATCTAGAACCATCACAAAGCAGGGGCTTTTCTTGAACACACAGAGATAACACTGTATAAGTCATAGAGCGTGGCAATATGATAAATGTATTTAATAGGTAATAAAATCATACACATAAAAAGAAATTAATATAGTAATATAACTAGGAACTCTAGGACTCACAAATGCACTTGCTATAACACTAGAAGCAACAACCTTTTGATCTAATGAGGAGGCACTGGATATGGACAGAATTATAACTGGAGTTGTCTGAGCTTCAGAGATGCCTGGAAAACAGCAAGAGTTTTACTCTAAACTCAGGGCATCACCAAAAAGTATGCAGGTGGGAACTCTGTCTAATCATGCCTAGCCATTCAACTTAAAACTGAAAGTTTAAAAGGACTTCCTGGGGAAGGACTTTGACAAAATAACTGTATTAATAGCCTCTGTCAGGTTAAATGACCAAGCCATTTGTTACCTAAGAAAACAATCAACTCATCAATAAGCAGCAATTCTCACTAAACTTAGTATAGTCATTTTAATGTCAAATAAGCATATTTTAAAAGCATATTTAAAAAATTAAGAAATTGAACTTTACTATATCCAATTAAAAAAGGAAGCTAGAACCCACAGCATTTCTTTTTGGTTATGTTTTCTGTTAGAAATTCAGTGAAATCCTGAAATAATTGTCTTTTAATTAGTCCCTCAGTTAGTTTCACAGTAAGATTGGCTGGAATGTTTTTATCGTACTTACTTTCTAATAAGTAAACATAATGGTTAAATAATATCCAAAAATGAACGCCACAGAATTCTTCAGATTTTAATTTCACATATCTCTGCATAACAAGATTTGACTGGGAATTATCCAGCATAAAACTGCATATAGATTTTCCAAGGGGCTTGTATGTGATTTACACAAATAGAAAGATGCACATAGATCATTTCTGCAGAAAGCTGGTAATGCTGAACACACAATCAGCAGGGTTGGCTTCAACCAAGGAGACAACTAATTCAGGATATTTACTTCCCTGCCTAGATCAAGCAATCAGTACAATGTGTGACTCTGCAGGGGATTGCCATTATGCAACTGGCCTGCCACTAGAAAAGTTTTCTAGTGTTGCAGATGTATAGAATGTAAACAAGGAGCAGAAGTAGTGTATGATAGGGATCTCCTATAGGAAACCAAAGTTCGTTTCTAAAGCTTTCTAAGTGGCTATGGGCAAGCCCTTATCTCTCAGGCCACATCCAGAAAGTACCAAAAGTATTGGACTTTTTAAAAACTTTTTAAAGGCCTAGGTTACAATCCTGCATGGAGTTTGGCTGGTTAATTCCCACTGCCTTTATTGGAACTGAAACAGCCCAGTTGTGCAGAAGACAGCAACCTCTGACAGCCTTTTTTATATATATATATATATATATATATATATACACACACACACATACATACATACACACACACATACATACACACACACACACACACACATATTAAACTAACGCTCAAGAAAAAGAACAGCATGTTGTCATGTAGGGAGCAGCATAATATTGAACCGTGGTAGCTGTAAATCTGCTAAATGATCCTTCAGTTCTGCATCGAGGTGTTCTTTCCTGCAGACCTCAGCCCACAGCCCTTGGAACAGTTAAGTCCTGTAAACAAGACCATTTCAAAGGGGGAAAAAAAACCCACCCTGCAACTGCGTTTACTTACCTAGCAGAGAGCCTATTAAGATGACAACCTGCATAACGGTAGTAAAATGCCGATATGCTTGTTCTTCCCTGTAGTCCTCGTATTCTGACGTCCCGACTGTATGGGCGCTTCGGTTGATTCCCACGATGTGAGCACCGGATGCGTTCAAGGCGCTCCTGACAGCCTGATAGGGCCCGCGCTCGCTCGCGTTGGCTGAAGCCCAGCTGGCATTGTAGCCCATGGCGAGGTGTCTTTCGGCCGCCCTCTTACCTAAGTCGCCTCCGCACGAAGCCAGCGCTCTTTGCCGCGCGGAGCACGCAGTTAGCGCCGGCTTTTCCAAGCATTGCCCATTCCATTGTGCTCCCGCTAAACGTCTGGACCCTGGAGAGGCCGTCTGACGTTTCAGGTCTGCATCTCATCCCAAAGGGGGGCACACATCATGACAAAATGGGAGAGGGGGCGGGGGGAAAGCTGCCTGCATCTCGTACTCCCGTGTCCCATATTTCTTGCTGCCCCCGCTTCAGTGCCACTGCACGCCTGTCCCCTCTCAGCGCGCTTGCAGCGCCATAAAGACAGACGGAGACGCGACACGATCCGTGCCACCCACTCATTTCACTCTAGTACGCGCAACCAGCGTGCATCCAGATAGGGCACTTGACAACCCTTTTTCGAGGAGTTCTTTCTGGCATGGTGAGGCTTAGCTCAGAAGCTCGCACCTCTTTGCGAGGCAGGGTCTTCCTCCCTGTCCCCTTTCCTAACGCAGGAGTCGTTTCGAGTCTTCTGCGAGCCGCAAACTCTCGGGTGGTTTCCTATCAGCGAGGCTTTAAATTAAGCGTGATTGTCTTGAGCCCGGATGCTGCTGCCCGTCACTTTGCGGATTGGCCCCGGCAACTCTTCAAAGGCTTTGAGAACCACCTCGGTCGCCTTCTACGTTGCCTGCTGGGCTGCTCCCTGCTGTTTTCTTAGAAAGAAAGCACGACTCGCCTGTCACGTGACCCTCAGCGGGTGGGCTCTGATATTTTATTTATTTTTCGGGGGGGGTGGCGGCGGCCATCTTGTCTTTTGGACTTTGTCAATTTAACGTCTGAATAAAACCACCTTTGGGAGGAGGGAAGCGTTATTGTAAGGCAGAAAGTGTCTGTCTGTATGTATATTAGAGGAGAGAAATGACAGAATGATCTGCTTACGGTATATACTGAAAACAAACTAATCCTCTGTAGGGTTTTTTTCCCCCATTCATTCTTAGTACCTTTCTTTTTTACAGGGAACAGTAGCAGCATTTTTCTAATTGTCATGCAGCCCATAAATAAGTTACGCAACCATGCCATACAGAAACCACATCTGTATTTTAATATTTCTCCAGGTAGTGCGTACACCTGCAGCCTTACTGTATTTTAACATTTTCACAGCATGGGTTACTTCTTTTTCATCAACTTTTTTCTTGGACAGTAGCATTTATAGCATTTGTTCAATTCCACTGTTGGACATACTACTGTCATTCCCATTGACTGACTGACTGACTGACTGATTATATGCCATCAAGTTGGTGTCAACTCTTAGTGACTATATAGATTTTCTCCATGATGATCTCTCCCTAACCCGGTCCTTCAGGCCTTCCAACGGTCTTCCAACAGTGCATCCATCACCACAGTACCTGAATCCATCCACCTTCCTACTGGTTATCCTCTTCTTCTCATTCCTTCCACCTTTCCCAGTATTGTAGACTACAAAGAGAGCTAGGTCTTCACATATGTCTGAAATAGGATAATTTGTGCCTGCTCATTTGTGCCTCAAGTGAGAACTCTGGATTGATTTGTTTGATGATCCATATGTTTGTTTTCTTGGCTGTCCATGATGTACTCAGGAGGCTTCCCCAACACCAAAATTCAAAGGCATCAATTCTCTGCCTATCCTGCTCCCTCAGAGTCCAACTTTCACTTCTGTAGAATGTCACAGAGAATACTATGGCTTGCCCAGTTCTGATCTTTGTAGATCAGAGTATCTGGATATTTTTTCCAAGTCCTTCATGGCTACTCTACCAAGTGCTAGTCTGTGGCATACTTCTTGACTGGTTGTTTCTTTACTGTTGGTGGTTGATCCTCAAAGGCAGAAGCTATCCACCACTTCATTTTCTTTACTGACAATTCTAAAGCTGGTTATTGTACAGTGGTACCTCGGGTCACGAACGCTTCTCTTCATGAACAGTTTGGTTCACGAACAGCACCGTTCGCAAAATTTTGCTTCCGTTCGCGAACTCCACATCGGGTGACGAAGAGGATGTGCGGCCATTTTCCCTGCTGTGACACATGGTCGTGGTTTCCTGTAGGGAGGGGGACTCTCCCTCCAAACAATACCCGCCTCCCCACCCACCTTCCTGTCCTCCACGCCAGAAGTCGCCTCAAGCAAGGTTA